AGTTTTATTGGCAGCTTCTTCAATTTCCGCCGGGAGAAATTCATTGTCTTGATCACTTTCCATCGCCCAGAAAATAAACTACAATGAAACTGGATGAAACCACGCAAAAATCAAAAATTGTGCAAAAACCTTAAGCAAAAATTCGTGATTATTTGACGTTACTAATCAACAATGACAAACAGAGATGACAAATAAAAATAAACAAATTCGTTTTTTTTTCTTGCCAGCAACCTATTTCATAAATAAATTAGATGAAAGATTTGAAATTGAGGATTTCAAGGATGCGTTAATTTGGACTTTTAAACAGTGTTTGTAGAAAAAATAGTGTATGATATTCGTGCTAAAAGTGATTCTATTTTGTTCAAAGGGATGGAACACTCCGCCTTCGGCGTCGTGTCCCAAACTTCCCTTTTCACAAAATAAAATGTCACTTTTAGCACTTATATCATAAATAACTATTACGATCAAGCACTTGATGATTTACTGTTAAAGGGCGCGGTGTCCAGGTGTCAATATGAAGCAGGGGAACTTTTGTCCTCCTATTTTTTAATCAAAAAACCTAATGGAAAAAGACGATTTATTTTAAATTTGAAAGATTTAAATACATTCATTAAAGCCCCACATTTCAAGATCGAAGATTTTAGAAATGTGTTAAAATTAATTACCCCTAAATCCTTTCTGGCTAATATTGACATGAAAGACGCCTATTACATGGTTCCAATTGACAATAATTATAAGAAATACCTTAGATTTTTGTATAATGGAATGAGATATCAATTTAATTGCTTACCTTTTGCTTTAAATTTAGCTCCATTCATTTTCACCAAGCTATTAAAACCAGTTGTCTCATTTTTAAGACAGAGAAATATCTTGTTTACTATTTATTTAGATGATATCTTAATAATAGAAAAAACACAAAATTATTGCCAATCAGCAGTGAAGGAGTGTATCAATTTACTTAAAAGTTTAGGTTTCATAATCAATTATGAGAAAAGTTCATTAATACCAACTCAAGAACTAAAATTTTTAGGTTTTACATTCAATACAGTCACAGCCTCCTACATTTAACAAGCCATGAAGTTAAAAAGGCAACACCGCAATCTTACCGCCAAGTGGTGCTGGTGGTGTTTGTTTTTATAAATATATATTTTTTATTTTAATAATATGAATCACGAAAAATGCATAATTTATTGTACTAAAGGGCCAAAAACAGTAATTCAATGAATAATATAACTATTTGTGTAAATAAGAACAGTAAATAATTGATTTAAATGAATATATTTCTAGAGTCTAAAGTGTTATAGGCCTATGTTTCAGTATGTCTTTTGAAAAATCTAACTTTTTCTTTCTTCGGGATTTTTTCGGAAGGCAGGTCCATTCAAATACTTGAGCTGATTTTCGAAAATAAGAGGTACCTACTTTTAAGAGTTGGACGTTTCAGTTTGAACTCTTGAACTACGCCTTTATCCTTGTTTGTTTCAAATCTAATTATTTCGGTTTCTTCAAAATGTTTACAACACACCACAGAATTTTTCGTTATTGTATAATCTCGGGTATAATTATCTTGGTGTATTGCTTTCATCCACATTTTTTGCAATTCAGAATTTTTTTGGAAATGAAAATGTTTGCATTTCTTCAGTTTTTAAGGAACTCCTAATAGGAACACAGTAGTTCATGGCATCTGGAACAAGTTTAAATATCTTAGGTAATATATCGAGACATATGCTCTTGCAGACAAATATTAATATTGTTTATTTACGACTAATGTATAATGTGCGTATTATATTTGTGAATTTGGCAGTATAATGACATATGTTATTCCTCCAGGGATTAATGACGAGTAGCGGGATTAATGGTCATTATTCCACAAAAGTGTCAGTGTCAAACGTGTAGTGCTTGTGGATTTGTATTGAAAATTATGAGACGGATGAAATTTGTTCATTGAAAATCTCAAATAAATTAATTTGTCGTAAATAAAGTAGAGTATACTACTCGCAATAATGGCTATTATTCCCTCGGAATGTTACTCCCTCGCCGCTAACGCGGCTCAGTTCGTAATAATCCTCGGGAATAATAGCTATCATTATTGACTCGTGGTATAATCTACTATTTTATTGTTTTATCTCACCTTACCTTCATTTTTGCTACTGTACCCATTTGCTAAAAAATTGCAATCAAAGCACAAAGGAACAGGTATCAACTAAATATGGGCAATATATTGGTGTGTTTCTATCCACTTTTTCGTCAATAATGCCCACAAAAATACTAAACTGCAACAATACACAATGAAAGCAATACACAGAAACACATAACCCAATAACAAAATAGCACCATACGCGACGTTGCCGTCATTTCCAACTTCATGGCTTGTTAAGTATAGGAGGCAGTGATACAGTCGATATGATATTTTTCTTGCCTTCAGATAAAAAAGAGAACATTTACGACAATCTGATTGCATTAAAAAAGAAAAACAAATGTAAAATTAGAGTTTTAGCAGGATTAATTGGTCAATTAGTAGCCGCCTGTCTAGCAGTAAAATATGGTTGGATACACATAAAAGAACTGGAACGGTTGAAATACTTATCTCTGAAAAATCATCAAAACTATAATGCAACTATAAAAATACCAGAATATGTAAATAATTACTTAAATTGGTGGATAATAGTAGATTATACCACGAGTCAATAATGATAGCTATTATTCCCGAGGATTATTACGAACTGAGCCGCGTTAGCGGCGAGGGAGTAACATTCCGAGGGAATAATAGCCATTATTGCGAGTAGTATACTCTACTTTATTTACGACAAATTAATTTATTTGAGATTTTCAATGAACAAATTTCATCCGTCTCATAATTTTCAATACAAATCCACAAGCACTACATGTTTGACACTGACACTTTTGTGGAATAATGACCATTAATCCCGCTACTCGTCATTAATCCCTGGAGGAATAACATATGTCATTATACTGCCAAAATCACAAATATAATACGCACATTATACATTAGTCGTAAATAAATATATATTATTATCTGAAATACAACTGATGATTTCTGAACTACATCTGTCAAATTCTAAATTATAATTCACGTTTTCTGAAATACAATTAACTAATCTAAAATACAAATGACGCTTTCCGAAATAAAATAGCTAATTTGAAATATAATTGACTCTTTCCGAAATACAATTTACTAATCTAAATTGCAATTGGCGCTTTCTGAAATAAATTGACGATCTCTGAAATACATACCTATGGAAAAGGGTTACTTAAAGACGTCGTATGTTACAAACCCCAACGTTTTTCAAACGTCTGCCTGAAAACGTCTTTATAACATTTTTCTAAGAAATTCTAAAGCCTTCTTCAACGAGATGTCTTAAAGACGCCTTTGAATTTCTTTTTATTACATAAACATTCACTTTTAGTTCCGGTTGTACCAAATAGTGTAGCTAAGTAGTTGTCTTTGAGATGTGAATTGACGACATCTTATGACTTATGGTCGTCTTTTATTTGTCTTCAGACGTTAAGACGCAATTCAGTCCAAAAAAGGCGTCTTTAAGGCAGCCGGAATGTCTTTCTGAATTCAAAAACAGAAATCAGAATCTGAATTCCGAACGTACCGAATTGTATATATTTTTATTATACAGAAAACACATTTATGATTTTTTCAGATTATGAATTGTTTATATCGATCTGCCAAAGTGACTCTGACGAGTGACGAGCGTTTTGAATTCCGAATCAGAAAAATTAGGAATATAATTTATAACGAATGTTTTTCCATATGTTTCAAATATACAAGCTCACACATCCGGAATTCAGATTATGATTCTTCCATTTTAACCAACACCGTTCAAAAGACGCCGCAAACTACGAGAATACTGGTCACGGAATTTTTAAGATATGCGTGTGCGGCAATGTACCGGAATTCAGATCTTGAGTTCGAATGTCTTTCTGAAGTCAAAAACGAAAGTCAGAACCTGAATTCCAGTACATTGTCGCACACATATCCTAAAAATTCCGGATATACTGGTTTCACCCTATTAATTTAAACAGAATAAGGGACAGCCAGTACCCATATTACTTCAATTAGCTAAGTCTTTGTTTTCCCTGTATTGGTACTCTTCTAAGGAAGTGTCCCATATATAAAGACGACTTTCTAGGCATAAAACTAGATTTTCTATCTCAGGAATACCTACATAAGGAATACCTACATAGGAATACATATGAATACATGAGAATACATAAGGAATACATAGGAATACATGAAAATACAAAGGAATACAGGGACTACATAGGAAATCACACATCACAATAGGTAACAACAAGTTTGGTTTTCCCACGTAGGTATACCTACATCTACTGTGCATAATTGAAATAAACAATCAATTAGAATAGAATCTGAATGCCGGCTGTGTGAGCTCGTATATTTGAATAACATGAAAAGACATAGGTATATGTTATGAATTCATAATCTTAATTTTTCAGATCCGGAACTCAAAACGATCTAAAAAATTCATGATCTGAAGAAATCAGAATGTTGTGTGCTGTATAGTAAAAATATATACAATTCCGTACCTATGTTCTGAATTCCGTTTATAAATTCAGAAAGACATTCCGGCTGTGTGAGCCGACCTTAGAGTCTGACAATTTTAACACGTTTTGCCAAAAGCTAGACAAGTAAAAAATGAAAAATAATCCAGTTAATAGAACTTATGACTGGATAGCAACTTTCAACGGTAATTCCGGAACCTTTCTTCGCATTGCTGACAACAAAAAAATCACCGAATTTAATCTGTCCCAATTAATTCCTAAACTTTTGACGACCCATTCCGCAGTATCATTTGAAATCGCCGACCCCAAAAAAAAGTGCGACGAATTTAGCCGAACCGATCAACGAATTATTCCGGGCACAACTAGGCAACGTCGCATTTAGCCAGTCCAGACCGAAGGCGAATCCCGTAGACTAGTCTTACGGTGACGTAGTCGAAGCACAGACGTTCTGTAGACAGTTCGCGATGTCCGGAAAATCGATTTCCTACCCCCACCACCATTCCACGCGAATAGTAGAGGTAGAACCGTCGGACTGTCAGCAGCAGCAGCAGCCGCGGCACATTAGTCAGTCGAGTCAGTCAAGATCCGACCTCGTCAGGCCAATGAGCAACGCGATGGCTACGTGTTATCCAGTGTCGTACGAGTTAACTTCACCGGCTCAAAGGACAGTAGTGCCCAATACGGTACCAGTGCAACAAAAGGATTATTCCAGGCCGCTTCACGTGGATTGTAGTGTCGAATACGAACTACCGAACGCCGCTAAACCGCCGCAAGGTGTCCGGAACGAACCGTTGTTGATGATCCATCCGTGTTACTTCCGGAAAATTGAAAGTCAACGACGTAGTCCTTTTATTAACAATTTACCTGCCAGGCCAGCCACCGCCTTGAAACGACGAGGCATGCCTCGCGGACAACAATTGCCTCAGCAAGTGCCAGTACAAGCAGCGCCTTATCCAGTTCAGTACCAGCCTCAAAATAACAGTTCCACTTGGGATCCACAGCCTCAAATGGCACCGAGTCAACCTTACTGCAAACGGGACGTGTTAGCTTCAGCTTGTGCAGCTTACACGGCTGTTACTAGCAGAGACGCGACTTTATGGACAGATCCAGAATGTTCACCGGATCGGCCCGAAGATAAACACATTCTATCCGGCAAGTACCGGCAATACCTCAGAGCTCACAGACTGCACCCCTACGTTAGTTCGGCCATACCTTTGGCCTCAACTTTTCCCCATCAAATTCAGCAAGTGTGCTATAACGTGTGATCGTTGTGATATAATAATGTTTCTTTGCCGATCGGTTTATTGATGCTGGTCGAAAAGAGCGGAGGCTGCAGATTTTTTTAGATGAAAATAAAAGTGGTTTTCCGTCACCCTTCTTGTGATAATAGTGTGTAATTTGTGGGCGCAAAAAGTAAGGGCGCAAGCGTCCCGACGTCTCGGGCGTGGTAGTAGTGATCCAGATGATACATCAGCTGTGCATGTGTTTATCTTCTTATTTTAGTTTCTATTTATATGGATTATTGATCTTTGATGTTATCTAAAAAAAAAATGGGTAATTATTATTTTTGTTTATTGATAAGAGATTGTGTATCTTATTCTATCAAATTATGCACATATTTGTCGATTAACTCCTCTAAATATTTAATTTTGAATTGAGGATAATATGTATCAAAAGTATCTGTGACAAAATTTGATGTTTTTCGTTTTTTTTTTTTGGTAGAGATTAAAAGACTGTACCGCAAGTACACTTTAATTAATTAAAATAAACGGTCTCTGATGACATGTTATAAGTACCAATGATTTGTTTTTCTTTATTAATCACTTTTTTGAAAATGTTTGGGCAAAATAAGATTTATGAAAACACAGACAACCTTGCATATGAAACACTTAATTTTTAATGCTTATTGATAAAAGTATCTCAATCTTCATACTTTTGACACACACTCATTATTATAAGTACCTATGTACCTACTTCTAAAATTCTGAGACATTCTTATACAAAATAACTAGTTCAATTGCAAAAATGTTAATGGTACTTGTATATGTGATCAGAAGCCAAAATACATCCCCAAGATAAACTAGCTTTAAATAAAATTCTAAAATTAAAAAAAAAAGTGCTTAAATTATTCTACTTCTAGTTTAGGCAGGCATATATAAAATAGCAATCGTTAACATTTGCCAGACAGTCATTTCAAATGTCCCCCAAATTACATCATCATGTGAGTGACAAATTTTAAATGGCAGAGCTAAATAACGCATTTTTTAAAATTAAATGTCAAGACTTTCATTGGTATATCATTCTAGTAATGACATTATAATTCGAAATGGCTATGTGCATTTTTAGATTCAACCATTATTTACAATTTGTTGCAAATTTTGAAATATCTAGTATTTGAACTCGGAAGTTTTTGATAACCTAACCAGTTTCTTTTTCGTTTTTCAATTGTAATTCAGAAAGTTGTTATTCAAATTTTTCAAATGTAATTCAGATAATCTCACTTGTAATTCAGATTCAGTTTAGAAAAAATCTCAATTGAAATTCAGAAGATTTAGTTGGATTAAAATTTATAGAACAATGTATTTATGTTTGTACAGGTTTTCTTCTAAGTCTATAATCAAGAAATCCGTTTATCCGAATTATAACTGTTATCTGATTTACAAATGGGATTTTATCTGAATTACAAGTGAGACTTTCGGAATTACATTTGAAAAATCTGATTTACAAATGTGGTTTTTTGAATTAAATTTGAATAATGTGAATTACAATTCAGGTTTTTTGAATTACATTTGAAAAATCTGAACTACAATCGAGGTTTTCTAGAAAACATTTGTATTTTTTTGAATTACGTATGATTTATGCTATGAGATGCAAATTTTTTGGAGAAGGTATGCTTTTGATGTGATTTTTTGGATTATCTTCATCTTGAAGGTATTTAATAAGCATTTTAGTAGTTTTCCAGTAATTTTTAAATTGTTCTGATAAATTTTCAAGTATTTTAAATACCTATTGAAGCTCCAAAGTGTTCTAAATTGGTTCAAAAAAATTCTTAAGGTTTCCAGTTCTAAATTGAATCCTAGATTGTTCTGAAATAACTGTAAATTGTTCTAAAATGTTCCTAAAAATTCTGATTTGGATAGTTATTGAAGGTTTAAAGTTCTACAGCAATTATTTAAATTCGTTCTTAAACGCCTCCTGAAAGGCGTGTTGTAACTTTTATTCTGAATCCTAAGATTCTGGCGCTTTTCAAAATGTTTCTGGAGATTCTAGTGTGTTTGAGTATTTAAGAACGTCCTAAAATAGTGGCTCAGTTGTTTTTAAGATTTTTTTTTTGGTGCCAGAAGTTCAGACGTAATGTAGACCTGAAAAGGACGTCTTTGAGACTTTGTGTGCTATCTGGGTTGGTAAATTTGTTACACTAATCAGCTTCTTATTGATTCAAATCAGTGACACAGACATTAAGTTATCATTCTTAGTCTGACATATCTGTTTCTCTGTATCTATTTCATTGCAACAAGTATGACAGAGATGAGTTATGTATATACATAGAGCAATGTTCATTGGTGGTACCAAAGAGAAATCTGACGGTTTTATAATAATTCACTTTCCTTTTAAGCCTGAACAATTTGGAACGACCCAGTGGGGTAAAATTGTAATTTTTGGGCTTACACAAATTCAAGATTTTTTGTCATCTGTACCTACAACAACAAAAAGGTCCTAAACCTGCCAATTTTGAGGTAAGAAGCTGAAAATTGGTATACATCTTCATTTTGACGTTCTAATAGTTATCCCAAAAGTCACAATAAAGGTATCCAAGGCTTCTTTAGTTATTGCAGGTCAAAAGTCACAGGTGTTGACTAATTTCTTCATCTGGAATATCTCTCTCAACAGAAGCAATGACACAGGAATATGTTGCACTAAAATTTCTAAGCTTTTTTGTTGGATATTTTTTTTTTTTTATAAAATGAACCGTTCTCGAGATAGAGCACGAGTGGCAACTCCTATGCTCCAGATTTTGACCAATAAATTAAAGGTACCTAACGGTGAATATTTTTGCTCACACTTTGTTGTTATGGGTGTAAATAATTGGTGAAAGTTTCCCATCAATTCGGTGATTATTTGGCCGTTACGGAAGGTCAGGAATGCAATCAATATCTGGAAAACGATCAACTTTTTTAAAAATTTCCTCTCAAAAAAGTCATAAATCATTAAAGAACCCCGCAATATTTGAATGGAAATTAGTTACCCGTGAAATTTGTATGAAATTTTTAATATTAACATTTCTTACCATGAGCACAACCCTGTACCTATATATGACATGTGAGGCGGAGTAAGCTGTCAAATATTAAAATCTTATATCCAAAACCAGAGTTGCTATGGCAGATTTTGATGATTGGAGGAAGATTTGACAGCTAACACTTCCTCACCTGTCATATATCCGAGGTTGTGCCCATAGTAAAAAATATTGCTTACGGCATCCGCAATAACATAATTTAATTTCATCAAAATATCACGGGTAATCAATTTCCATTTAAATATTGCAGGATCCTTTGCTCTAAATTTGGTACATTACTCCACAATTAGCCGTTTTTGAGATATTGATAAACGCATTCCTGACCTTTGACCCTCCTTAACGGCCCAAATAATCACCGAATCAATAGGAAACTTTTACCAATTATTTAGACCCATAAAAACACTGTGTTTGCAAAAATTCACTGTTAGGTTCCTTTAATTTATTTGTCAAAACTTGGAGGCTTACCACTCTTCGCACTTTATCTCAAGAACGGTTCATTTTATAAAAAAAAGTTTCAAACGAAAGTGCTTAGGAATTTTATTATTTCTAACTTTTGTAATAGGTGTTTATATCGTTGAAGCAATAGGAATCGAAATAATCGCAGAAAACTGTGACCTGCCATAACTAAAGAAGCCTTGGCCACATTTATTGTGACAACTATCGGAACGTCAAAATGAAGGTGTATAGATATCAATTTTCAGCTTCATAATACCTCAAAATTGGTAGGTGAAATCACATCGTTACTGAACTATTACTTCCTATGGACAAAAAGTTAATTTTCCCTTTTAAGTGATTGAATAATATTTTCAATAATCATAAAATACTGCTTCAATATGTGTTTCCAGTAATGAGATTTCTCAAATTATAGCTGTTCATTACAACAACTAATAAACGGTTGAAGTAATACCACGCTCTTTGTTGCATCACTCCCCCTCTAAACATTATTCAGCACTTATCCAAAAATCCTAAAATTCATGGCGCTCTCCGTTATACAGCCAAAAGCAATTTTCATAGCCTATAAACCGCCTATTTTATTGATCATCATATTCTACGGAATAATATAACTTTTAATAACCTCCATAAAAACGCCGGCCCTAAAGTTGTCAGGGAGTTTCATTAAAGGATTTCTTTTTTGGTATACGATGTACCATAAAGTCAAGAGGGAAGAGTGTATTTAACTCTAATATCTGTACTAAAAAAAATATATTATGTCATTGTCTGTAAGGGGGGCCCGTAAAACATCGTTTTATTGATTGTAATTTTTACAACCTTGAAGCTTTAATGATTGCAATTCTTTATATTAATCAACAAAAAAGATAAAATAATTTGCTCCTCTCTATCTAATGAGCAATTAAAAATTATTGCAAAGCCATGTTGTTGAGTGGAGGTTAAATAGAAAGTGGTATTCATTATATATATTATTTTTTTTGGTCTGTCATTATTTCAAAAGAAACGCACATCCCTAATTATTAATATTGAGGAAAAATAATTATTTTTTTGACTTAATTAGGCATCAGTCATACTATTATTACTTTGGCGTGATGGTATGGATTATTGACCTCAATTCAGTATCGCAATAGTCGATTAATTCACCGGTATTTATTGTAATGAACCCAAATAATTATTTCAGTTAGTCTAATAATAATTTCCTGTTGTTTACTACAATTGATAATATTTTTATCATTAACACGACTTTTGAATTACCAACAAAAAGGTTGATAACATTCTTTAACCTCTTATAAGTATCTATGGGTGCAATGAACATCATTTTTGAAAATTTTAAAAATTAACATTTTGTCCTTAAGAGAATTGGGGTCATTGAAAATTTCAACGATAATGAATAAGGTAGTTTAAAATTCTGTTGATTTTTCGGAATTGATAATAAAGAAGTTTATACAAGTGGTGATTTGAAAGGAATAAATTTTCACAAATTTAAATAGCTATCGTAAACACCATTCTCTATATCAATTATAATTTCCATGGTTGCTAATATCTATTTGCATTTGCATTTCTCAATGATATTAATAATAATAATTTAAAAATAATGATGATTTAATGGGAATATACGATTAAAAGTTGACGTCAGAATAATAAGGATATCGTCATGTGGCTTTCCATATTTTAATAAAAATACCTACCTATGAATCAATTACATTTCAAGTTATGATTTCAAGAATTTTTCACATCTAGTTTGTTCAAGTTTATGAAACAAATTAATTCATTGCTCCATGCTGATACATCTTTAAAAAATTCTCTGAAAGTTGAAAATTAATTCAAAATTTTTAGCCAAAAAACCCTAAAGATCACATAAATACATACTTCAAAGCAATCTAGATTTCTGAAACATCTTTACATTTATCAGAAACTTCCTTAAAATTTGGACTGAAGCTCCTACAACCTTGCTAAAATATTTTCTCAGAAATTAATCTCAAATATCTAATAAAATATAGGTATAGGTACTTAGCCAAACTAACAGAATGGTCAACAATGAAAGTCTGATAGCCTTAAAATCATAAAATTAACAAAACGGTTAAAATAAGCTTTTGCTAAACCTTCAAAGGTCGTTTATAGTAACCATAATAGGTATCAATCCAAATTTAACCCCTCATTAAGCTTTGGCCTTAAGATAAAATAAATTTGATGTTATAGAAAATTTAAATTCTCTTATTGATTGTGTCTCGGTGTGAACAAAAATAATAAACAATATTAATTTTTGATTCAATTGCAATTTGTCCTTAAAATAATTGAAAGGGACTGGATAGCTCTATTAATTAACTTACATAGAGTTATTCGCTTTAAAATACCAAACATCCTAAACGTCTTTCATTAGATTTAGGTTTTAGAAATTAATCCTAAGTATTTGTAAAATGAGGAAATTATAACTGAACTTATGGCAGAACATTACGGGTCTTTTATAGTAGTATAATAACTAGTAAAAAAAACATTTTTTAAGTAAAATGTTGTAGACAATATACGGTTAGTTGATATGTGCGTGTATAATACGGGATTTTTTTGAATGATAATTTTGTCACAGGTATTTTTATTATAAACATTTTTATTTTATTTATAAATTAAACACACATGCATCAGGTGAAAATTATTAATGGGCTAAAACCTATTATTGTTATCATCAACCTTTTTAACTTGTGCATTAATAATTTCAGCTTCAAACTCTTAATATTTATCATCAAGGCTTGTTAACAAAAAAAAATTATAATGTTATTTATTTTTCCTCGATAAATTATTGTTAAACAATCGACTGAAAATTTTTCTCTATAGTAGAAATAAATTATAGATATTTGTTTTTTTTTTGTTACCATCATATCATATGTACATTTTCCTTTTTTTTTAGTTGATTTATTTAGTAGCATTCCATTTATACAAAAATCCATTAAAACTTCGGTGTTTTTTGAATTATTGCTAAATGTCACTAGATTCAGAAGAACGTATTTTCTATATACATAAAAGGCAAACAAGTGTCAAATTTAGAATTATATTTTTCACATAATCTGTATTTAAAATGTGTAAAACCTAGATACGTTGACGCCCAAAATTCATATAGATCTGAGTGTCAATGTTACCTTATTTTAAAGCACACCTACTAGAGATAATGGATAAAAAAAAATTAAAAAAATTTGATGGCTACTTTCTACACCAAAGAAAATATCTGTTGTATCACTTCTTGTACATAATTAAAAACCTGTCAAGTGTCACTATGTGGCACTAGTAACGCAAAAAAAAAGTATGTGAATATATTGTATAAAAATATCGCCTCTTTATATAATAATGTACAGCTAGTCATAGTCAAGATACGCTTATAAAGTATAATAAAACGTGTTACTGTTTTTATAGAAAAAATATTTTTGTTTTATTTTTCCCATACCATATAGGGTCTAGAAGAAAAACATCACTGATTAGGAAAATATCATTATTATCTTCGAAATCCTATACTGGGCAATCAAGAAAACAATTTTCATATGATTTGAGTCAAAAGTTTTATGCCAATTTGAAATTTGAGTAGATTTTAAATAATTTACTTACCTAAGTAGATACCTATATAAATATTATTGTTCCATGGTCTCATCAGGCAGAGGCGGATTTCCTATGAAGCAGAAGAAGCAGTCGCTTCCAGCGCCAAATTTTAGGGGCGCCAAAAATTTCAAAATTCAGGCAATTGATTATTTCTTTAACCCATTTCGAAAGTTATATATAAATATACAGGGTTTTCCACGAGGACAATTCACCCAGGTGATAACTTCGGAACGCGTCATTTATTTTATTTATAGGGATCTGGGTGAATTCTTGTGCCGCTTCTACATAAGTTAAATTACAAAATCGGCAATACCACAACCGCAATACCATATTATATTTGTTAAAGAAAATTATACTGATCATTGTACCCTCCGAAGGAGCGGACTTCCCCCGGTGATTTGAATTTGACTTGAAAAAAAATGATATAAAATTACGAAGTGGAACATTCGCTTGCGCGCTCCTATGTTATCACCTGGGTGAAACCTCGTGAAACACCCTGTATATTTAGACAATTTGGTGAACTT